TTTTTTTGTCTAATCAATACATTAGTGGTCAAAACATTAGAAATCTTGTTCTACTTTGAATTTTGTAATACTATTCTAATTTATAATAACATACTTTTTGAAATTGTGTTGTGTGATTGGACAAAGATTATCTTAGGGAAAATTGTTTTATTAGAAATAATAAATTAAGGAATCAAAAAATATATATATGTGGGTGGAATCTATAACATTAACATGACTACAATTTCCATAATTCAACAACCTCAACTGCATCAGAAAAAACATTGTGCAACAAATCATTAAGATTTATTCCGAGATGCCAAAAATAATAAAAGCAGCGTCACTTTTGGCAGTTTGGAGTATATTGCCTGGATCCAACGCCAATCGAAATCCAAATCGGAAAGGAAGTCCAAATCGGAAAGGCAGTGCTTCAGATGTTTCCGGGAAAAAAGATCCCAACACCAAAGCAGCCCAACACAGACCATCCGAACACATATCCAACCACCAAAGCCAATCGATATATCATCCACAACAGCATCACAAAAATAGAAAATCCATTTTGACACATACCTGGGCCACTCCAAGATTATATCGATGTCGGGGTAATCGTTTGTTCAATAGTGGAGGAGAAACGAGGCGCAATGTTTATCTATTTCAGCCATACATTTCCGATAACCCAGATTTGTTTCCACACTTCTCGCCGATTGAATGCGGTTCTCTCATCCCATATAAGCCACATAAAAATTGCAAACCTTGACATTTCTCTCATTCCATGTAAGCCACAGAAAAATTGCAAACCTTAACATTTCGTTTCCTCGATCTCCATCCAGAATTTCACAAAAAATAGACATGAAACTCTTACCTCGCAAACTAGCCGACATATCCCACCACAAAAAATAGACATGAAACTCTTAGCTCGCAAACTAGCCAACATATCCCACCACCTGACTGTTTTCCACAATCTTTTAACCCATCCACATTCAAAAAATACGTGGACATTTGATTTTCAGCCTCCACATCTAGCACATTTTGCTTACACGCTAATAGACATACTAGTCAATTTTCGGAGGAAGGGAAAGCCAATACTAGTCAATTTTCGGAAGAAGGGAAAGCCAGTGACGCAATCTCCACAAAATATTTTTATTTTTGGTAATGCTAAAAATTTGTTTAAGATCAATTAATGAAAGATAATTTTAGTTGAAGAGACTTAAAATTAAGTCTCACGTACTTGGATAGATTTATTTGTTTATTTAATTAGTACATATGTTCTTCTTAATTTAATTAGTATTAAGAAAAAATTTATTTGAACTATTGTTTTCATGCACATACCAACACTGTAAAAAAAAACAAAAAAAAAAAA